ATCTTGTTTCAAAGTACCATGATCATTTCTCTAATAGCTTATGATTGGTATGTAACCATTTCACTTCTGCTGATTCACTTACCATTTTTGCTATATTGTCATAGAATATGTCATCTCTATAAGCCATTGAAGCAGGATATATCTGTCCAAACCCTCTAAATCTCTTCTGAAAATTTTTGACAAGACGATAAAAGCATTCTCTTTGCTCTGCATTTATGAATACATTCTTCACTGCATTCTTCAAGCCCTTGCAAGCATCAGAACAAACAACAAGGAGTGGAGGATCACCTATTGCCTTCTTTAATTGCTCCATGAACCAAGTCCAGTTGTTTGTTGTTTCAGAAGTTATGAAGCCATAAGCGAGTGGATACATCCAATTATGACCATCAACTACTATAGCTGCGGCCAAGTGACCATTCCACCTTCCATTAAGTGCTATAGCATCTATGCTCAAATGAGGCCCATAACCTTCCAAGAAACCATCAATGCATGGTTTAAGAGCATAGAAAAAAGGCACGGTAGAAATATACTTGACCATCCACCTCAAGTACCTCAATTTGGTGATCTTCAACGACAATCCCGGGCACCACTTCATTACCCTCGGCCTTCCACCGGTAAACAATAGCTCAAAACTCTCTTCACATTTGCTATAAACCTCATCAAGAGCTCTTTCTTTACTCCGCAGGATCATACAATTGTCATATGCAATTTGACACTTGTGATCTGTCTGCAACTTGTTTTTGCAATTCCTTAGCACCAATATTTGAATCATCTCTAAAGAAGGCTATGATCAGAGGACCTATGATTGAAATGCAACTTCTCTAAAGAAAGTGGAGTATCCTGAAAGCTCTAATTTGGTTTTGGTGAATTGATGAAACCCTAAGTGCTAACCTAGTTTATCAAAGTGATCATGAGATGGGTAGCACATTCCAAGTGGTGAAGCAAATGAAGATCATGACATGATGATGGCAATTCCATGATGATGAAGTGCTTGGACTTGAAAAGAAGAAAGGAAAACAAAAGGCTCAAGGCAAAGGTATAAGTGGTAGGAGCCATTTTGTTTCGGGCTTGAGCAGGTGATCAAGACACTTAGCGAGTGTGATCACATTTAGGTTCGATAGCCATACTATTAAGAGGGGTGAAACTCATCATAGAAGTAGTTCGAAATATGGTTATCAAAGTGCCACTAGATGCTCTAACTCATTGGATATGCATTTAGGATCTAGTGCAAACTTACTAACACCCTTAAAAATGTTTGTGAAAAATATCCAAACACACATTTTACAAAAGGTGATACATTGTGTTTAGCACTTGGAGCAAGGGTAAGAAACTTCACGGCGGAGTGTCCGCCTATGAGTGCGGATAAATTCCCGACGCGGTGCCACCGCAAGCGCATGCATGAAAAGAGCACAGGTTTTCACGAAATGCACCGGTATACTAGCCTAAAGCCGGATCGGTGAAGGTCTCGGTCATAGGAGCGGTGAAGATATCGGTGTGGTGTCTTCAATCCGACTTCACTTCATGACCGAACGGCGGGCAGGGCGTCAGGTCCTCAAATGGCGACGTGGCGACCGCATGAAGAAGGTAGAAAGAGGACCGACGCTTTTAAATCTTCACATGGTGAGTCTGGTCGGGCATGACCGGACGTGTCCGGACGCGAGTGGAGGCTTACTAGAAATGATCGGATGTCTTTGGGGTCCGCGTCCGGGTCATGATCAAAATCAAGGACACGTCTCGGTCGTAAAGTCACCTGAACCTTCTCGAAAGTGACCGGACGCCGTGGTCCTACGTCCGATCATGGAACTGTGTGCGTCCCGTCATCACTTGACCGTTGGGATCGACGCTCAAGATTTGAAGAGAGGGATGACGTGGCAGCCATCCGCGGACCGAACCTCGGCAGGGTGTCCGATCGATCCAGACCGGAGGCGTCCGACGGCCTTAGCAGGCAATGAAGCTAACACCAGCAAAGTTTCGAAGTGAAGGGGCACAACGGCTCTATTTCGGTGGGGTCTTCTATTTAAGCCCCATTGCCGCCTTTAGCTCACTCTTGGCCATTAGCATTGACATAGCAACCTTGTGAGCTTAGTCAAAGCCCTCCCACTCATCTCCATCATTGATTCATCATCTTTATGAGATTGGGGAGTGAATCAAGCGCGTTGCTTAAGTGTTTGCATCTAGAGGCACTTGGTGTTCGTGTGTTTTGCTTTGTGGATCTGGCTATTACTCTTGGTGGTTGCCGCTTACCTGACAGCTTGGCAGCGAGGATCATCGAAATGGAGGTTGGTGATTGTCTCCTCTCCCGATCGTGGTGATTGTGAGGGGTTCTTGACCTTTTGCCCGGTGGAGAGCCAAAAGGTACTCTAGTAAATTGCTTATTGTGGCTTGTGTGATCCTCATCTTGTAGCAGTTGGTTGTGCGGCACCTATTGAGGGTTTGGCAAATGATGCCAATTAACGTCATGAACCTCCAAGTGAGTAAATCGTCATTAATGAGGACTAAACGCATTGCCAAAAAGTGAACCTCTGGATTAATCTCTCTCTTTGATTGTAATCAAACTAGTTATCATTTGATTCCTAGGTGATTGGTCTTCATTAGTATTCACTCTTGTGATTGATTGGTTCACATAGCCTCATAGATCAAGGCTCAAGAAACTCTGCTATCTTTGTAAATCTTAGGTAGGCTATTACTCAAAAGATTTACTTGATCATAGTTAGGAACTAATGTAGCAAACTAGTTGTTAGAACCTAGCTCTTTAAGAGATGATCCAAATATTGGTGCTAAGGAATTGCAAAAGAAGTTGCAGACAGATCACAAGTGTCAAATTGCATATGACATCGTATGGCGAGGTAAAGAAAGAGCTCTTGATGAGGTTTATAGCAAATGGGAAGAGAGTTTTGAGCTGTTGTTTAGGTGGAAGGCCGAGGTAATGAAGTGTGTGCCCGGGAGTGTCGTTGAAATTGAGGTACTTGAGGTGGATGGTCAAGTATATTTCCACCGCTTTTTCTGTGCTCTTAAACCATGCATTGATGGTTTCTTGAAGGTTGTAGGCCTCATTTGAGCATAGATGCTATAACACTTAATGGTAGGTGGAATGGTCACTTGGCCAAGCAAATTATAGCATAATGATGGTCATAATTGATGTATCCACTCGCTTATGGCTTCATATCTTCTCAAACAATGCATAACCGGACTTGGTTCATGGAGCAATTAAAGAAGGCAATAAGTGATCCTCCACTCCTTGTCGCTTGTTCTGATGCTTGCAAGGGCTTGGAGAATGCAAAGAAGAATGTATTCCCAAATGCAGAGCAAAGAGAATGCTTTTATCATCTTGTCAAAAATTTCCAGAAGAGATTTAGAGGGTTTGGACAGATATATCCTGCGGCAAGAGCTTACAGAGAAGACATATTCTATGACAATATAGCAAAAATGGTAAGTGAATCAGCAGAAGCAGTGAAATGGTTACAGACCCATCATAAGCTATTATGGTATAGGTGTGCTTTCAATCTAGAAATTAAGTGTGACTACATAACTAGTAATATTGCTGAGGCATTTAATAATTGGATTAGAGACCATAAAGACTTACCTGTTGCTGACCTTGCTGATAAGATTAGAGAAATGATCATAGTACTTTGGAACAAGAGAAGAAATATTGCATACAGGCTACCTGAAGACAGGATACTTCCAGCTATTATGTATCAGCTAAAGGCAAATACTAGAGGTTTGGGACACTTGAAAATTGTACCATGTTCTAATTGGAGTGCAGAGGTGTGGGACCATAGCAGTAGAGTTAAGACGCATATTGTCAAGTTACACCAAAGGACCTGTACTTGTCTTGAATGGCAGCACACTGATAAGCCATGTCAACATGTATTGGCCTTTGTAACCCACCAATGGGGAGTTGACCTTGAACAATTTGTGCATGACTATTACTCAGTGAATAGATTCAGGGCTGCTTATGGTAGAGAGATTGAGCCGATGTCAGACAAAACACAATGGCCATAAGTTGACCTACCATTTTTAGTTGGTGCACCTCTTGCTAAATTACCTGTTGGAAGACGAAGCAAACTAAGAAGGAAAGGATGGATGGAAGGTGACCACAAGAAGAAAGGTTCTAAAGATGGTGAATGTACCAACGAGGGTGAAGGTGAAGAAGGGATGTGACAACGATAATGCTCCAACAAATAGAAAGGGAAAGAAGATGATCAGAGGACATATGACTTACAAAAATATGGACAAAAAGGTCACAGACAAGCTAGTGCCAAGTGCCCACTCAATGGGACAGCAAAAAAGCGGTAACTACTGATTTTCATTATCAAGAAATTTGAATGAAAATGTCAATAGTAATTTATTTGTTTACTTGTAGGAAGCGTAGGCAACCTAGGAAGAATGTTACGAAAGCTACGCCAGCAGAACCTAGCACCCCACGGAGGCCGACTAGAGAAGAAATCCTACAGGATAGTCCAGGAAGGGTCACTAGAAGGTAAGAAAAATTAACACATTTACCGTACATTAAATCTTTCCATACATCTAATTGTCGTATCATATTTTATGTGCAGCGAGCTTGAGATGTTATTAGGAGAGGGCACATCTTCACAAACCGACACCACTAGTCCCGTAAGGATGCCTACCGCGGCAGCTCCAAAAAAGATGACTCCAAAGAGAAAGCTACACATTGGATGAATTATTTTACTTGTTTTGAGATGTAAACTCATGCTTTATTTCATATGACTTGGATCTCGTTTGGAACTAAATTATGGTCTTCTGAGATGAACTTGTTTATGCTACAATCATGGTTTTATGATATGAGCTCATTTGTTCGCAAGTTGCCTGATCTTTTATTGAAGTATCAGTTGATTTTACTGACCACTTAGATTAGCTTGGAGATATTCATTTTCAGAAATTTGCTCAAATTTACAGACTGAATGCAAATATGATAACCTCTATTACTTGGAAACTAAAGCTAACATTTGGTCAATTATTATTACTGAAAATGCAGACTCTCAAATGAACACAACTAAAGGCCTCTGCTGGTTGTAGTCCTGCATGCCACACCAAATAGGGGTCCCAAACAAAGTCAGTAACCCAAGCAACCTCGAAACCACCATGAGAAGGGGGACCTCTTTCAGGGCTACTGGCCGTACCAGCGGTGGGAAGCAGTCCTCGGCGGCGCGGCGCGGCGCAGAGAAGCTGCCGTGCGTGCTGGTGTCGGAGGCCGTGAGCGTCTTGCAGAACATGTGAGGCATCCGTGCGAGCGGCTTCATGGCGGCCCCGTCCTCACCGTCGCAACCCACGTCCTCGTCCTCCCAAACCGGCCCCCGCGCCCGCCTCTCCGCGTCGCCGCCGATGTGCTCGAGGTGGCCCTGCGGCAGGTACAAGACGGTACTGCCCTTGTGCGGCAGCGGCGCGACGGGTCCCGCGCACGCGTGCCACAGCTCCAAGCACACAACACCACCGGCCCTGGTGGCCACAGACGGCGCCTCCGCTTCCGCCTCATCCTCCTCCTCCATGGTGTTGAGGTCAATGCCCGCCATGGCCTCGGTTGGCCGCAGCAGCTGGCTCCACGGAAGGAGCAGACGATGAAAGCAAAGCGCCGGTGCGGCGAGGGATGGAGCTGAGGAAGCGAGTGAGGAGTATCTGAGTAGGGCAGAAGGGTCACAAGAGGGCCAAAATACATGTATTTTGATTAACAATGTGAAGAAATACGCCAAATGTCATCTAAAATAAGAAGCCGACGTTTAAAGGGCCATTTTAACGAAGTCGACGATTGGAGTTCTATAATTACGAAGCACATTATTTGGTGTCCTATAATTGCAATTTTCTTAAAGCAACCAAGGACAAAACTATTTTTTTAGATTCTAGCTATTTATTAGGTGCCTATTTGGATGAGCTAATTTGGGCTAGCTAATTACTCCATCTGTCTAAGGAAAACATGCGACTATAGGTTACGTCAAAAAAAAAGTAGCTCATATTTAATCAAGTTTCTAGTTAATAATATTTATATTTATGGCTCCAAATCAATTTATTATGAAAATACATTTGGTAATTAATCTAATGATATTTATTTGATATCATAAATATTGATACTTTTTATATATAATTTATCGAACTTAAGATACTAGAATGTGACACTCTACTAAGAATTGCATGTCGAAGGAAGTATTAGCCATCTATTTATTAGCTTTACTTTTAGTTGACTAAAAATTAGCTCTAGTGCATCTAAACGGCCCTTATGTCTAAGACTAGATCGGCGGCTAGAGCGAGAGCCCATAGGCCAGAGGATGCTCATAAACTTGTCGTATGATAGAATAACAAGAACAAGGGACGTATGGACAAGGGAAATTAAACATGTATATCCGATCAAACCTTGTCGTAGTCCATCTCGTATTTACCTTGGTCTTCTTGTTGAGGGGTGACGATGTCGACATTCTGTCTGCTCGCAAACAACGCCGTGGTATCCTCCGGTGGCAGCGGTGAGCGGCTGCCTCCCGGTTTCGGCAGCGGTGCGCTGGCCCATTCCAGGACGCTGCGCGTCCGCCGGGTCGTTGTTCTCCTTGTGGTCGTGCAGCAGCATCCCCGGGCGCACCCTAATTCGACATGGGTGGAGGTGGTCAAGTCAGGTGGAGACGTGGAGTGGAGTGGAGAGGCCTCTCGAATCTCAGATCGATTTGGATGTATATTTAGGTACCGGCGGGTTCCTCACCTCGATGCGAAGGTCATCGTGCAGGTCTCGCCGTCGGGGACGCGGCAGGCGAGGAGATCGACGGCGGCGGCTGCTCGTCGGGATGTATGGCGGCGAGGGCTGGGGTTAGAGGAAGCGGGCGGCGCTAGGGTTTCGAAGGCGGCTCCGCACAATGGGGACCTCCATTTATAGGCGCGGGTGAACCTCGTTGCGCGTGCGAGCCCGGAGAAACGAGCGGCAGCGGCGGCGGCGTCCGCTTCGTGCGGACGGAGGTTGGGGCCGACGTCCACCTTCGCTAACGCGTGGGCCCCTGTGGTCTGTGGCTCGGGGGGGGTGGGCAGCGTGGCTGACGGGCGCTGCTGCCGCTGGTAGCCGGGCCGCGCTGCTGGGCTTGGCCCAAGGGTTGGAACAGGCCTGGGCGTGCTGCGGGAGGTGGAAGCGGCTCTAGGCCTTAGCAGACCGGAAAGAGGGAGCGGGCTAGAAGCAAGGGAGAAAAAGGAGAGGGGCTGGAAAAAGGCTTTTCTTTTTATGAAAAAAGATTCAAAGCACTTTTCAAACCATTTTGAATTGGTTTTGAAACATAATTTTTGAAGACTTATTTTCCAAAAACAAAATAGTTCTTAATCATGGTCGGATCAAGTTTTAGAAATTCATTTTTCACACAATAAAATCAATGCAAAGGCATGAATGCAACCAACACACTTCCATTAATTTGTAAAAGCTTTACAACCCTCATTTTCTCACTTTAAATTGTTAATAAATAAATAAATCTTAGAAAACTTTAGAAAAATTATTAAATCCTATATTTTATTTAGTGCCACTTCTGAGCAGTGCAAATTCTAACTCTTGGCTCCCCCCTAGGTACTGTGCTAACTCCCCTCCAACGCCAACACTTCATTGGCGATCACTGCTACTGATCGTCTCTTCCCCTCCTCTCGAATAGGGTTCCTCTCAGACCACCAAGTCCACATCCCCACCACCGCTATCATCTGAATGCACCTTTTTAGCTCCATCATGTATCTGGTCGCCTCTTGCGCCGAGTTAATCTTCGCCAAGAAAGCTCGCTGTTCTTCTAAGGCCAACCTTGTCCACAATTCCACCACTTGATGGCATTTGAAAAACAGGTGACCCCCATCCTCGCCCTTCGCATTGCATACGACGCACCTGTTGTCTATGTCCATGCCCCTCAGCCCCTGTGCTCCAAGTTCGACCTGGGAGGATGACTATTGTGGGCGACCCGCCACAGGAAGTGTTTGGTTTTTTTCTGGCGCTTCCTAAGCGTGTTTGGCTCCACCTCCTGAACTTTAGTCGCTGTCACATTGGATGTTTGACACATGTATAGAGTATTAAATATAGATTATTTATGAAACTAAATGCACAGATCGAGACTATTTTGCGAGACGAATTTTTTAAGCCAAATTAGTCCATGATTTGACAACGTGGTGCTACAGTAAACATATTCTAATGACAGATTAATTAGGCTTAATAAATTCGTTTCGCAGATTACTGACGGATTATGTAATCTATTTTTTTATTAGTATCCGAACACCCCATACGACACTCATACGTAACACCTCCTAAATTTTAGTCCCTCAATCAAACCTCCCCTGGCTCCAAATCTTCTTCCACAGGTCGTCCTGGTGAAGTGCCGAGCCAGAGCTGGAAGCCCCCCTATCGCGCTGCTGGTTGTACACAAAGATTCTTCGACAGACCTTGTATGCGCTCTTAACTGAAAATAGCCCTTTGGAATCGTAATGTCATGCTAATGTATTTTCCCAGGAGGATGATGCTATGGTCATTTGAGAGCCTTCGTACACGGCCGGACGGCGTCGTTGGTCTCGGCGTCGGCCAGCATGGACTGCATGTAGACCAGCTTGCGGCGGTCGCCGTTGACGTCCCACATGTGACAGACGCTCTGCACGGGCACGCCGGCCGCCTTGCCGACCACGCCGCGCACCACGGGGAGAAGGAGCGAGTCCGCCATGTTTGGTTGCGAGAAGCAACAGCTAGCTGATACAAGAAAGAAACAAAGCAGCAGCTTTGCTCGGAGCAAATTGCACTTGGGATTTTTAGTCGTCAACCTCAACCATCACTCCATCAGTTCATATTTAAGTTGCCTGGCTTGTGTTATCAGCCTGTTCACTTATCTTATAAGCCATACTATTTCAGCGAACGAACAGTATTTTTCTCTCACAACAAATCAACGATCAGTACTTTTAGCTATAGCTTTTCAGCAAAACGAATAGAGCCATCATTGTCCTATGAGCCATACTATTTCAACGAACGAACAATATTTTTCTCTCACAACAAATCAACAAACAATACTTTTAGTCATGGCTTTTCAGCGAAAAACAGACCCATCATCGTCCGGCTCCGGCCAGGCATTTATACAAGCACCCGGCGTGCATGGCTACAGGACAGGAGAGCACATTTCACCAGGAGTCAACTGACTGCTCATTACTGCAGCTATTCATCATTCATGGATGTCCCACAAACGAGAGCTCCGGAGAGGCAGCTTAACACAGAAGCAGCTAGTACTCCCATTCATTCAGTGATTAAAAAAAATTGCTGTTACCATGTTGTCTAAGCATGGCCAAGAACTGAATCAGATGGTTACTAAGATCGTCTGATTAAAAATATCATACATAACACTGCTGTTGAAATATTCACGCGAAACGTTTTTCATTGGCCATCTGCATTGTGCTACTGAATCCATAACTGGACACATGATCCTGCACTAGAAACTCTCTGCCTCAAAGGTGACAGATGATGGTGGAAGTATGCTACAAAATTTGTGGATTCTTGGCTATCCCTTGATGCACGAGGCACCACCAGTCCACAAGTCGATCTCCAACTGAAACTCAAGGCATGTCCTAACATCTCATGATCGTCTAAGCCAGGCCATAATTGCTCGTCGTGTGTGTTTATCGGTAGTATGAAGCTGTGATGTACAGAAGAACGGAGGCAGCCGCAGTAACAATCAGCTCCTGGGGCAAAGCATCGGCCAGTTAGTTACCCTCCTCCCAGAACACAACAAGAATAGCGTGAAGGGTTTGTTACATTGAAGGCATCCAGTAAGACTGCAATAAAGATGATATATAACATGTAACAAAGGATCAAAGGGCCGCTCATTCCATGAACTATATCCACCCAGCATCACTTTCAACGCAAATCATATCCCTCCTAACAGACACATACCATGACTTACCGCTACGCACCCTATGTGTTCAATTGTGTAGGCTGTGTAGTTTACACATCAAAACGGGCACAAATATAATTCAAGCATTAGGTTTTAACAAACTCTATTTCTTCTTAATGCAATGACACAGTTCTCCTGTGTGTTTGAGGGGAAAAAAGTAGGACTTATACCCTATATACATTATACTGAAGCTCTCAATAATCACATTTTCTAACCATGTCAACAGATAGATCTGCAGGCACTCTGATTTAAAAAGGGGAATCAGGCTAACAGTCATCATACCTGGTAGTAATAAACAATACGGGGAGTATACTGCATTGAAAGCTCAATCAAGTTAATAGCTGCTGTATAGCCCTGAAAATATTAGGAGAGGACAATTAAACCAAAATGCAATCAAACGTATCACAACCAGAGACATAAACCCGGAGGACCTACTCAGAAAATTTTAGCAGAGTTGCATCAGATACGAATCCACGTACCAGGGATGCAGTGAACACACATCCAAATATCAAACCCAAAGCACGGACTACTCTTTTTGCCATTCTTATCCCTCGTCCTTCAACCTCACCATATTCCTGTTACAAACACCAGATGCGACTTACTAATCATTTCAAAAAAAAACTAAATGGCAGCCCAGGTACCATCATCAATAAGAACCATCCTATGTAATTTTGCATAAGCTTTTAGTAGGGCACATAATTAGTTACCAGAAGAAAAATAATGAACTGAGTTCAGATTAACTTTATATTTGCATGCCCATCATCAAAGAGATAAGACATACGAAAATGAAATGCGGGCCACACAGCGCCATGCTATGTGAATACATATTATTTATGCGTCAATAGAATCACCATAACGAGAAGAGAAAACTGAGATAAGCAAAAAGTGATTGATAGCAACATCATCAGATGACAACCATAAAAATTGTACAAACTGTAAGCTCGATAGATGACAAACATGGAGCATCAGAAACAGTCTCACATTGTATATTGGAGTTATTGCTGGTTCAGTAGCTCTTAGCTTCTGTAGTATTCTGTAGAAGAAAGCAAAACATAGGAACTGCAAAGGCTTCCAGTCTGCATTGCCCATAATAGCTATCCAAACAACCTGGATGTAAAGTGTAGATAAATATCTTTTTGAGGAATTCAACATAGTGATAAGGATATGTGCAAAGCCTAATTTGGGATAGAACAAAAAGGTTAAAAACTACTCCATCCAGTCCATCATACATATTATTCAAGGTACGAGCCTATGAGTATATTGCATACACAATTCCAAAAAGATAAATGCCTTTCATATTTTAACATGTTTGCCCTCTTAAAATGAACTATGGAAAAAATATGGACGTGGTGAAAACAGTGCGCTGCAGCCACTTGGCCCAAATCCACTACGCAAAATTGATATTTGTTTTGGACTCGAGTTAGTAATTTTTTAACAACTTTACATATTAAATATGAGTAATAAAGCATGAAATCCAAACTTAAATGCTCGGAACTTATGATTTAAGCTTCCAAACATGTTTCAAGCTTTCATTTTTTTAACAAAAAAGTTTCAAGCTGATATCTTAAATGGTAGCTTTTCTGACAAGAATAATCATGTGAAACCACAGTGGATAGCCAAGATACTAGACATAGAAGTGAATAACCATAAACAATGAGCATGTTAGCAATAGCTGGGATATTTTTATGAATTGAGAGAAGAGTACATACAAATGCTGCTGATATCGCCATATTTATGCGCATGTCCTTCACTGTTGATCTGGAGAATCTGCAAGATAAGTTGAACACCCATTAACCGCTTCACACTGTGTTTCTGTTTAGTAGTCTTAACTCATAATAAGCATTCAGATGTAGATTTCTGTAAACAAATGTTTCTGATAGACCATATACCCATAGAATAAGAACACTGGTTCATAAATCATAACCATCAACAGAAAAACAGGGAAGGCAAATACTCCTACAAAACAGTTAGTAGGTAGCCTACCAGAAATGCTAACCCCATTCCATCATGTTTCAATATGAAAAAAAGCCTAACTCATATCAGATTATAGTGACTACATTCATAAAAAAAAGTCACCAGTTCCTAAAACATGCTTCGCACAATCATACCCACTAAAATTCTGAGTTGACTATTGACTTATGAAATGAAGCCTAAGTTAACTTGAGTAAAAAGTACCTTGGTCCCCAAGGCACCATTGGTTGATTGTCAGCATACTTGATATCCTTGGACACCTGATAGTGGGAACAAGATTAGAAAACAAATGAATAGAATCACCATAAGGGGTTAACTGAATGAATTAGATAGTTTCACCAGTGCATTTTAGAAAAAGCAACCATAGATGCTTGAATCACATAAGCTCACTGTACTATGTAAGTAGAGCCAATAACAAGTATGACCCTTCTTGATGATCTATGCAATAGATATTTTGATGCAAAGCTTATCTAATATTCACAACTATGACCTATAGTGCCATTAATAACATTGCTTAGCTAGCAAACCCAATTTAATGTGTAGCTCTGTAAGGCTCAATCAATGACCACAATTTATGTCGCATAACTCAGTAAGGCTCATTATTAATACAAGTCCATAGCATAATAATTTTTACCTTCTAACTGATGATGAAGGAGCATATAACAAACACAATGTATGACTTGCAATTACACATCAATGTTTTGAATCAAGGAGAATCATGTGCATCCAAGAATGACATAGCAACTGACCTGAACAGACCCGTATGTGACTCCCTTCTTCCGATACTGCAGCTGCTGCATCATGACAGTGTCGTAGGCCCTGTCCAACTATCATAACCCCAATAACTCAACCATTACTGCAGTTAGCAAAAGCTAATGCCATATGCTAGCCTAGAGAACTCAGACAAGAACACTCTTCCCTACCTTGGCAAGGAACTCGTCGTCTCCAGTCTCCTCGGCGTCCTTGCGCTTCTTCTTGTAGGCCATCTTCATGTGGTCGAAGCTATCAAGCGGCCTGATGCCCAGAAGCTAACACCCAAAGACAAAAAGCACAAATCACAACACGAATCGAAAAGATAGAATCTTTGCCCCCATTTCACTCAGGTTCTACCTCATACGGGTTCTCCTCGTCGCCGAACTCCGCGCTCCCGGCCGCCGCCGCCGCCGCGTCCGCTGCCACCACGACCGCGCCGCGGCGCCGCCTCACGGCTGACGCGACGAGCCTTCACTTCCCGCGGAAAAGAGGAATTCAGAAATTTCTCCACCCAAAACGTCCTCAAAAACCTCCTCCACAAGAAAAACATAGCTGGCCGGCGCAGGAATTACCGCAGCGACTGGGGCACGGGCCGGCCGGCGCGACGAGGGAGCGGGAGGAAGCCGCGGTGCGAGCGGGACGATGCGAGAGCGAATGCGGGCGCCGCCGCAGCGACGGTGGCCGTCGCCGTCGCCGTCGCGGACGCCATTGGGGGTCCCAAAGCCTAGGGTTTTAGCGCAGTCTCACGCGACGGCGAGGAGAAGAAGCCGGAAGCCATGGGAGCCAAGGGCGAGGTCTATCTGGGTGGATCGCCGTGGAAGGTGGGTAAGGTGCCTTGGGCCACAACTGGGCTAATAATGGGCCTTCTTAGTATCTATGGGAGGAACTGGGCCCATTAAGCCCATGGAAACGAGGCGGGCTCGGGCTCGGGCTCTCAAAGAAAACCCAGTGGCGGCTCGCCATCATCAACATTGTTATTGAGTAATAAAGCCTAGCTGATTGTCCTTAAAAAAAACGTACAAAGGGCAATTCGTTTCGCTCTTATCTTCCTCCTTTCGTTATTTCGCCGCCGTTCGCCGTCGAACCTCCGCGCCGCCGCCGAGTCGAGCCGGCGAGGCGAAGGGAAGGAGAGCGGGGAGAAGAGGAGAGGACGCCATGGCGACCGCTTCAGGTGAGTAGAGCATCACGTAACCCTAACCCTAGTTTTCCGTGGGTTCGGTTCGATCCTCCCTAAACCGCGTGAATCGGTCCGTTGCCCTGGGCGGTTATCTCCCTATCCGGTTTGTTTCTCCCCGATTCGACGTGAATTAGGGTTTGTTCGGGGGCGGTGTACCTGGTGTTCTGCCTAATTTGGGGATCGGGGCTTCTGTGGGTGCTTGTGACCCGCGAATTTTTGGGGATTTTTACTGCTGTTTTGAATTAGCGACTTATGATGTCTTCTACCGTTTGCGGCAGTGACTTTCAAGTCACGGGAGGATCACCGGAAGCAACTCGAGCTCGAGGAGGCGCGCAAGGCGGGGCTCGCGCCTGCCGAGGTCGATGAGGATGGAAACGAGATCAATCCCCATATCCCCCAGTATATGTCCTCAGCCCCATGGTATCTTAATGCTGAGAAGCCGGTAAGTCATTGCTTCCACTATTTAGCGTGTTGTTGCCTAAAGCTGTGAATGAGGATCTGGCTGATTAGAGGGCTGATGACTCCTTGATGGTTTAATGAATTCAGAGTTTGAAGCATCAGCGGAAGTGGAAGTCAGATCCGAACTACACCAAGTCGTGGTATGATAGGGGTGCAAAGCTTTTCCAGGCCAACAAGTACAGGAAAGGCGCTTGCGAAAAGTAAGTGGTGTTTGTTTCACCATATTTCTTTTGAGGCCTTTCTCAACATGTACTTATTGCTTGTTATTAGTATGGCATCGTCTTGTTGCTTCTAGAGTTGAGGTCTAAGTTTTAGAGTTTGCAGTCCATTTAGTAGCCAATATGCATGAATAAATAGACTGCCAGTGTAGATTTGCTAACAAACGGTTTTCCTTGATGTTTTAGCTGTGGAGCCATGACTCATGACAAGAAGGCTTGCATGGAGCGGCCTCGAAGTGTGGGAGCTAAATGGACAAATGTCAACATAGCACCTGATGAGAAAGTTGAATCATTTGAGCTGGACTATGATGGAAAGCGTGATCGTTGGAATGGTTACGACCCATCAACCTACACTCGTGTTATCGCTGACTATGAAGCTAGAGACGAGGCTAGGAAAAAGTATCTGAAAGAGCAGCAGCTCAAGAAACTTGAGGAGAAGGATACTGAGAAGGATGATGAGAATGCGGGCAGTGAAGATGATGAAGAAGATGGCCTGAGGATAGATGAGGCCAAAGTTGATGAGAGTGCCCAGATGGACTTTGCTAAGGTAGAGAAGCGTGTGCGCACGACCGGTGGTGGAAGCACCGGTACTGTTAGGTATGTACTGCACTACTACTCAGAAAATAGATCATGTTCCTTCTAGTACTGGGGTTCCTGCGTCAAGGATTTATCAGCAACCAATTTAAACGCTGATGGTAACTTTTTGTCTCCACAGGAACTTGCGTATCAGAGAAGACACGGCAAAATATCTTTTGAATCTCGATGTCAACTCTGCATATTATGATCCAAAAACCCGCTCCATGAGGGAAGACCCCTTGCCAGATGCTGATCCAAATGATAAGTTCTATGTGGTAAGTAACTGACGACATATGACTTTAATGCTTTATACACAATTTTAAATGCGAAATCCCTCTGTTCTCTAGGCTCTTGGGTTCTGTTATCTGATGTGATATTATGGTGCAGGGTGACAACCAAAATCGTCTTAGTGGTCAAGCTCTGGAGTTCAAGCAACTCAATATCCATTCTTGGGAAGCTTTTGAAAAGGGTCAGGATATCCATATGCAAGCAGCCCCATCTCAAGCAGAACTTCTGTACAAGAGTTTCAAGATCAAGAAAGAAATGTTGAAGTCTGAACATAAGGATAAAATTATGGAGAAGTATGGGAATGCTGCGTCAGAAGATACAATTCCTCGGGAGCTGCTGCTTGGGCAAAGTGAGAGAGAGATTGAGTATGACCGTACTGGTCGAATAATCAAAGGACAGGTTGGTAAAAATACTGAGTGTTGTTAATTATGCCTGTCAACTTTCTGGTCTCTTGTTCTTATAACTGTTCCTGCTTCTTCTTCTTGTCAGATTCTATATATTTTGTGTCTGGTAGGGCTTTCTAGCTAATTGTGTCTGCATGTTATAACATCAGAGATGACGATAAGCTTCGCTTCTTTAGAAGGAATCATATTCACAGAGGCATTGTGGCCATTAGATACGATGAAAAGAATCTGAAATCTTGTGTCCAATCTTAATAATGTGAATCAATAAAAGTAGGGCCTACTCTAGCCTCCACAAGCGCATGTGCATTTTGTGAAGTTCTTGCAATTGAACTTGGAACTAGGACTGTGCTATAGGGGCTAGTCATAATATTGGTTGATTTTTTTTTGGCCTTGTTTCAAGTATGTTGGGATAGGCTAGAGATCAAACCCAACAAGGACCATAAAGAAAGATTATATGGAAGTAAAAGGTTATTAATAGTACCAACAATAGTAAAAGGAGAACGTTATCCTAGATCATGGTTCAGCTCATGTTTTCCTAGTTACCACACACTAGGAGCGCATGCAATCGCGAGTTAACTTTATGTTTGCATGCAATTAAAAAATACTAAGAACCGTATCCTCTTTCACTTTGAATGAATGGTTAGTCTGTGGCTTTAGACTGGAATGCCACCAATTCAGTGTAATTATTGGACTGTTGGCATTATTTCCATGTTTGGTATGGTCATGACTGCTAAATGCTAACGAGTAACCTTAATTTATATCTACAGGATGTAGCTCTTCCCAAGAGCAAATACGAAGAGGATGTATTCATTAATAATCACACGACTGTGTGGGGTTCATGGTGGAAAGATCATCAATGGGGCTACAAGTGCTGCAAGCAGACTATCAAGAATAGTTACTGCACAGGCTTGGCTGGAATAGAAGCTGCTGAGGCATCAGCAGATCTAATGAAGGCCAATATGGCCCGCAAGGAGGCCGCAGAAGGTATTTTGTCGAGAAAATACTTATATTTATTTATTTATATCTGGACAACTTGCACTGGGTGTAGGATAATTGGTGCCATTGAGTAAACCTTTACCTGTTCAAAAATTCGCACCTGCCATTGATAAAATCATAATTGGTGCTAGCTTTTTATCAAGCATGACATCACACCTAAGTGCCAGTTTTATTTGCAACCAGTTAACTATTCTCCTAATTATGTGAACAGTGTATTGTTAAAGTTAGTGTGAGGTACTGAGGTCTCAGGTCTTGTTAGTTTCATACTTTCATGCTGGCTTCCTTCAAGATATAAGTTGAAGCAGACAATGAGATGCAAATATAGCTAGGTGCAATTTGTTTTTTGTTTATGAATAAACTTGTTTAAATGAGATGGCTCACCACTTGATTTAATTACCCATGCGCGACCACCGTTATGCATTGCATTAACTTGAAAATTGTTCAATGCAGATGTACCTGTACAACATGAAGAAAAGCGATTAGCCACTTGGGGAACTGATGTGCCTCAGGATCTTGTTCTTGATCCGAAGAAGCTTGCAGAATCTCTAAAGAAGGTCAGTGTCTTGTATTTGACCTTTGATATTTTTTTGTTTATATAATTTCCACGCTGAAGCTTGGTTTTAATCCTGTAGGAGAAAGCAAGGGTAAGGGGGAAAGAGGAGGAGAGGGATGAGAAGAAGAGGAAGTATAACGTGCACTTTGACGATCAGGTTACTGTAGAAGACATGGAGGCCTACCGTATGACGAAGATTCACCACGACGATCCTATGAGAGCTTTTCTCAAGTGAAGTGTGGTAAAATGTTGGCGCTGCTGTATCACATTGGTAGCACCCTGCCTTGCAGCGATGTTGTGTAATTGTAAGATGGCTATGCCTGTCCAGACCAGGGTGGTGCTGTGATCTCGTAGAATGTAAAACCTGGCTACACTTTTTACAAGCTGCGTGTTGAAAATGTATAATGCCATAATTTTCAGATAATCAGAATCCTTGCTTCCATAGTTTTGGTATTTGTGACGATTGATGTGCAAAACGAATGGCATCCCTACTTGTGAGCTGCCAAAATTTTAGTCCGTTAGGAACAGTTGACGAGGTGTATATAGGAGCAGAATGAGTACGTGTGCATGAGTTTGTGTGGTTTCTTATTTCTTTTCTTTTTGGGTGAGCTGTATGGTTTGTTGTTTTGTTGGTCACCAGTTCGGTCGAATCTTGGATAACTGGTGAGGCACCAGGGTCATCCAAAGCCCGAACAATTCTATATTTTGTCACGCGGTTCAGGTGTAACCAGATCAACCTACAGACAGACAGACATACATATATATATATATATATATATATATACATCTTTTTTTTGTCTCTTCATCAAACTATGTACACTTATTATTACACAAGCGAGACGCCACCAATGAATGGAGCAATCCTGTATCTACATCTAGAACACGAAGAAAACCAACCTCTCAACCAAAGCCACAGCTAACAGAGTTTACATTAGCACACCATGACTGATCATCTATATCTACTAATCTAGGACCTAAATCTTCTTCTTTTGACCAAATCACAAATCCAAACTAGCTTACACCTTTAACCAATCCCCCATGCTAATAATTAAGAAGGATGTCATGTCCATGTCATAGGCCTCTTGCGAGCATGGCCTGGAACTCCTCCGCCGAGCGCTGGCTCTGCAGCCGCATGTCCTCCCTGAACTTGCGGATGAAGAGCTCGGCCCTGAGGTCCACCTCCCCCATCCCCTTCACCACCCCGAGCACGCCTCCGCTGCCGCCTCTTCCGGGGCTCCGCAGCAACACGTTCCTCATCGCGCCGACGCCCGCCGCCATGGCGCGCGCCTGCTGCTGCTTGCCAGCGCTGGCAGTGGTGGCCTTGCTGCCCGCGGCACTGGCAGCGGCGGCGTGCGCGGGTGCTGCAGCCGCCGGCGTCGCCAGCTTGTCGCGGGCGCTGGTGCTCGGCTCATCCTGCTGCACGACGCCGCGGAGGGCCTTGGCCGCTGGCTGCTGCAGCTGGTGGTGGCTGTAGAGGTCGTCGACGTAGACCGGCGCGAAGCTCCGTTGGTGGTGGTGGTGGTGGCACCACCCGCTCTGCGAGTAGTGCACGGAGGACGCCGTGCGCCAACGTCGGCGAACGTCGACGCCCCCGATGACCGACCTCCGGAGCCTGGACCCGACGGCCGCCGCGATGCCGACGCACTTGGCGCGCCACGGCCTCCTGCCGCCGCCCGGCCGCCCCGACGACGAGGACGAGTAGTGGTAGGTGCCGCCCGTCGTCGTTGGCATGGCGGCGCCGAAGCAAGACATGGCCTGATGATCCGATGCCCGAAACCGTGATCCGCGACCGACCGGGAGAGTGTGCGAGCGTGTGTGCAGGAGGGGAGGGGAGGGAAGGGAGAGGGTTGCTTAGCTTTGTCTGTTGGAGGAAGCGGAGCTCAGTATGAGTGATAGACTTATAGGCGGGGTTGGCGTGAGAAGAACGGAGTGGGGAGCGCTTTCGGTGGTTGGGCGGGTAAGACTCACGCTACCTCCTCCTGCTTCTGGTTGGCATGCAGTTGACCGCGCTTGCCTATTTCATTTCCCACTAGTTGCATTGGCCATTGGGTACGTACACCGGCAGCGGCAGCTGGAATGGATGGATGCCACCAGGCACCAGGCACCAGCATCTTCTTCCTTCCCATCGCTGCCTTTCTTTTTTGCTCTGCTTGCTTGCGTTTTAGCTTGCAGCTGGATGCTTCTTTTCTTACCTGAGTCGGTTGTGATTGTGATGATGACATCAATGTGGGCACGATCTAGCTAGCTTTACGTTCTTGGTTTTTTCCCCCCCGTTTTCTTCTGTGTAGCAGTGTGGGGTGGGGTGGGGCCTGGGGTGACAGAGAGACGCGGGCAAATACCTTGAAAGGCTGAAACCTTAACTTAATAACTTAAGACCATTCAAAAGCTGGCTTGATCTGATTAACAAATCTCCTGTCTTGGTATAGTTTGGCAGTCACAAATCCCTAGGCCCTAATGTCAGGGGAGTCACAAATCTCCTGACTTGCTATAGTTTGCTTGGGAGTGGCCGGACATGCATATCAGGTGTAGGTAACTTACAGTAGGAGCTATGCAACACAAGTTAATAATTACCAAATCAAACAATGGGACATACATGATATAAAAGCAGGGTATCACCGTATCAAACTAACATCCGGCCATGGCCTGGCTTGTTTTTTTGCACATTGTCTCCATCAACTCACTCCGGTTATATGCAGTAACATCCAGATTAGAGCAACTCCAGCAAGACCCCTACTTAAGCCCCCATAGCTAAATATGGGTGCCCAGACAAAAAACACAGCTCCAGCAGAGCCCCTAATTTGGGGTGGGCACCCAAATCCACCCTCCAGACCCTATTTGTATGGGAGAATGGGGGCTCACCCCTGGCCCCCATATGGCTGTTGTGGCTGTTTCTCACCCGCGCGCCCGTACGTATTCTTCTTCACCGGCGACCTCGGCTACCTCCGGCTGCCGACCTCCCCTACCACCGGTGGCCTCCCTTGCTCCGACAGCTGCTCCCCTCCCCTCACTCCGGTGGACGCGGCCCCAACCCGGCGGGGCCTCTGCCGGAGCTCCTCCCGATGCCGCTTCCCAGCACCCGACGAGCGGATCTCGCCGCACCCCCAACGCCTCGATGGGCATGAGTGGATCTCGCCGCTTCGCCAACACGGATCTCGCCGCTTCCCAAACGCCCCGATGAGCGGATCTCGCCGCTTCCCCAAGTCCCCGACGAGCAGATCTCGCCGCCACGCCTCGACGAGCGAAGCTCCCTGCTCACCGCGAGGACGAGCGGCGCTCCTGTATTGCCGCTTCCCCTCCTTCCCACATGTATAGCTTAGCTGATAGAGCGTAGAGAATGACAAGCGGGTTCCTTTTGTCAGTATCTACATGTATGGATTTGGGGGGCCTAAATTTGGGTGCTACTGTTGGAGTGAAAGTAAAAAAACTGAGCCAACAAAAGTAGGGGGAGCACCCAAATAAAAATCAGGGGCCCTGATTTGGGTGCCCCTGCTGGAGTTGCTCTTAGTTACTTTGCCTTTGCTGGGGATATATCACACCGATTCTTCTCGCAATACCCAGCTCTCAGCTCCTTTCTGGCGTAACCTTAGTACATGTTCCATTTCCTTGGATGCATGCATGCCTAATAACCTAGTTCAATTGAAGGACAACGATGGCTTGGAATTACCGGTCGCCTCTGCTACTGTAACTCAAGATTCCCTACTTGCTTGAGTGCAGTTTTCCACTGATACCCAGCCCTCTTTAGGGCCTGTTTGGAATAAAGGAATATAAAACAAAGGAACGGTAAGAAACGCAGGAATAGAGGAAAGTGAGGATTGAAAACCATAGGAATGAAAAATTTGGACCGTTTGGATTGCAGGAAATAAATTTGAATCTTCACAGTTTTCAACGAACAAAGTAGCCGTTGGTATACACCAGTAATCATTGCTTTCTTTCCTGGTCTGATACTGTTTGTGCATTGTAGCCAGTAGCCGTTGCGCTTGCCTAGTCAGAAATTGCTCATGCATTGTAGCCGTTGCTTGGTTCTCGTTGCTATATAAGCACGCTGCTGCATACCTTGGAGAGTTGCACCTCCCATCCAGACTAGCAAGACAAGTAGTACACACAAGCACACGTACGTGTTCATTCTTTGCACTTGCATAGCTGCACATCTCTCATCCCTCGTAGTGATAGGAGGTGCTTTTCTTTCTATGGATCCAAACTATCGCCGACGATCACAAAATGAAGATGAATTCATTTTCCTCATCCACCCAACACTAGAAGGAGCCTCATCCCAATCATCCGAAAAGAAAGCAATACATGATTCTATCCGAAATGGAACCATGAAACTCTAACAGGGCATGAGGCCCTATGCAGAAGGCGGTTCCATATGGAAAGATAGATTTTTCAAGCTCTTGTTCAAAGATTGCGTGAAAATAACCTTCTTGTTGATTCAAGGTACGTATCTGAGGAAGAGCAGTTAGGCATATTCCTTTATGCCATATCAAAAAATGCAGGCAACTGAACATTGCAAGATCAATTTCAACATAGCGGAGAAACAATTACCCGCCAGTTCAGATCAGTGCTCAACGCACTTACACAACTCACATGCAACTACATATGGCTACCTTCTCTGCACCAGCATCGGATCTTAAGGCAACCTAAATTTGCTTCATACTTCCAAGTAATGTATTTTTTATTAGTATATCAAGACAAAATTAATTTTATTTGTGGTTTTAGTATTAATCAACATGCAAATACATGCAAAATTGTATTGGTGCTATTGATGGCACTCACATTCCTATGACTATTCCTCTCGGACAACAAGAGCCATATAGAACTAGAAAACAAGGTCTATCATAAAACACGATGGTGGCATGTGACTTTGATCTAAAGTTTGTGCATGTGCATGCTGGTTGGGAGGTGGTCTGCTTCTGATGCAAGAGTTCTCCAAGATACACTTAACCATGGATTTAGTGTCCCTCCCGATAAATTCTATCTAGTAGATGCAGGCTATGCTAACACACCAAAATTCCTTGCTCCATATCGTGGAACTACATACCATCTACAATAACAGGGAAGGGCTGGACAAAAACCATAAAATCACAAGGAATTATTCAATCTATGACATGCTTAACTCTGAAATCATATAGAGAGAATTATTGGTATATTGAAGATGAAGTACCCCATACTAAAGGCTACATCATTATATGATATTGACACACAAGTTGATATCTCTGTAGCTTGTTGTGTAACTCATAATTTTATACGGCTATACAATGGAGATATGTCATTGGCGCATGGTGCCACTGAAGATATCAATCAAAGTAACATGCAAGTTGTACCAGAAGGAGACGACCACTACAGTGTCTTGGGAAAGATGCTATTAGGAAAGATGAATGCCATGGACTAAAAAAATGCAAAGGAGGAAAGGCAATGTCTTGTATGATAAACAAACTTCATGAGTTTAACCATGCATTGGAATTACCAAACTAGCAGATGCAATCTTGAATTGGGGGAAAATAAAATAAATCATACATAAATTTTTAGCTTCAAAATAATTTTTTAGTTTCAAAATAATATTGGGAAAGATGAATGCCATGGACTAAAAAAATGCAAAGGAGGAAAGGCAATGTCTTGTATGATAAACAAACTTCATGAGTTTAACCATGCATTGGAATTACCAAACTAGCAGATGCAATCTTGAATTGGGGGAAAATAAAATAAATCATACATAAATTTTTAGCTTCAAAATAAATTTTCAGTTTCAAAATAATATTGGGAAAGATGAATGCCATGGACTAAAAAAATGCAAAGGAGGAAAGGCAATGTCTTGTATGATAAACAAACTTCATGAGTTTAACCATGCATTGGAATTACCAAACTAGCAGATGCAATCTTGAATTGGGGGAAAATAAAATAAATCAGAATTTTCAGATCTAATCTAGGACTCCACGTATGAACAAGATCCCAACCAAACTATAACAAAACAGAGAAGAAATTCCAGCAAGGGGTTACTGAGTTCTTAAATTGATTACCTTTTTCTTGTGAGATCTCGCCATCCCCTCCAGATTGGGGAACGCCAAGACCTTGTCCTAGTGCTGCAGACGGAAGGGGTGGAGTTGGTTTTTGTCCCCCAGATGCACTTTGAAGTCGCGGATTCGTCATCTGTCCGAGGTGGAGGGCGACGAGCGCGTCCACGTGCTCTAGTGTGGCTAGGGATTAGGCCATGGCGGGAGGGAGAAAGGCAGCAGCGGGAGGAAGAAAGGTGAAAGGACCTAGGATGCTGTCTAGAGGGGGGTGAATAGGTGTTTCTGAGAAATCAACACAAACCCACTTCCTAGTGGTAAGGTAAGGTGTTGGGCCACTCTCTTGACGTTGATAAGCCACCACTCCGTAGATCGAGTCCCAAACCCTAAGAAATAGCTAGAGAGAGGGAGACAACCAAATACAAGTAATTTCGAGCAAATCACAACAACAACAAGCACGCGGGAGACAAGAATTTATCCCGAGGTTCGGTAGCCCCACAAAGGAGCTCCTACGTCCTCGTTGTTGAGGTGACCACTTTGGTCGGAGTCTCTTCCACCTCCTTGCCTCACTCAAGGATACCACAAAGGTCACTTGAGTTTCTTCACTAGAAATCAAGGGTAATACAAACTTCCCAAGGCTCTTCCACAAGATGGAAGCTCTTGGGCGATGCCTAGCCGGCTAGGGGAAAATCCCCAAGAGTAACAAATGCAAATCAAACCGGCTTGACGAAGAAATCAAGTGCTCAA